CATGTTTTTGTTTTTGGATTATAACTTTTATATCTTGATTTTTTTTAATTTTGTACTCATGGTGATAACATGTTGTAATATACAAGGATACTTAGAGAAGTGATTGGGAGAGACCGGAGTCAATTCCAAAAGGAGTGGGTTGGTTGTAAAGCTTAGGGAGAGGTAGTAAATCTAAACACTTGAGGAATGTGACACGGGTAGGCCAACACTTAGAAAAGTGTCTTGTGGGATTGACAACATGTATTTTATTATAGCTTTGTATACCCCATTTTGATGGTGACAAAGGGGGAGAAAATCTCATATCCTTTGCGCACATAAATAGGGGGAGAGTCTTATAGGTAGGGGAGCATCTATCTATAAGCATTATATTTATTTCCTTTATGCTCTTTTATAATGGTGGTTTGTCATCATCAAAAAGGGGGAAATTGTTAGGTCTCTTGTTTTAATGATAATTTATAAACATCATTATTGGTGCTAATTGCTTATCAAGTGATATTACGTAGGATATATTTTAACAAGCAATATAGTGCTATGTATTTGAGATGGATGGATTTATGCTATAACGATGATATCCATGGAGGTGGAGGCTAGTTGATGAAGAAGCCCTAAAATGCTCAAAGATCGTCTCAAGCGAATATCAAATAAAGAAGAGCGTTCAAGCGTAGATTCAAAAAGAGCTTCATCAACAAAATTGAGCAAATATTGACACTTAAGTGTTGTACACTATTGTAAGCGATATTTGTAGTTTTTATTTTCTCTCTAGATCATAATGTAGGCAAGAAATAAAGTAGATAACTTTTGAAGCATTTGGGGATCACACACACACACATTTCAAATCTTGCATTTTCAATCGTTTTTGAAAAACAGTAAGGTTTCACAAATGGAAAATCATATTTTGAAAATTTCTCTTCTAATGTATTCATTTTTATACATAAAATCATGTTCCCAAGTTTTATTATTTTTGGAGTTAATTTAATATTTTAAATATATTTTAGAAAACTAATAGCTCAAAAATATCATAAATCTGGAAGTATCAGCTTTTCAGTCGACTGGTTCTTCCCTACTAGTCGACCGATCAGAAGCACATTTTCAAAGCCTGCAGCCAGTCGCTCATCAGTCAACCGATACATATCAATCGATTGACCGATGACGCAAGTCTAGTCGGCCGATATGACTACATCGATCGACCGACGGAGTCTCTGCCTTCAGCTTCAGCCAACGGTCATCTCATTGGTCGACAAATACTTGTTAACCAGTCGACCGATGATAATATAACGGCTAGTTTCCAGACTCCAGGATTTTAGGGATTTTGTTGGATTTTGTGATTTTCTTTGGATTTGGGCTATTATATTAAGTGTCTATATATACCCTCCAGTCCTCATTTATTATTCAACCAACGAAGCTAAGAAAATTTAAGAGAAATACTTGTGTTTTGTTTTCGAGACTCTTAAGCCAAAACTTTCATCTTATTCTCAAGTTCTCAATTTTGGTTTTTCACTTTCATATCCCACAACCCCTAAGCTTCAACTCTCATCTCTTAATCCTTGCCATAGAATTGTTTGTAAGAGAGATTTTTTTTTCATCATCTTGTATTGTGTGAAGAGCTTGATCTTGATGAGATCATTGTGTGGAGAGTTAGATCTCAGGAAGATTGTTGTGAAGAAGTTCTGGCTTCCAAACTGGGTTGTGTTAGTGAATTACCATCGGGAGAGGTGGTCGGGGACATAGGTTGAGAGGACCGAACCTCATGAACACATCGGCGTGTTAATTGGCTAACTATCTCTAACTCTCTCTTTTTTATTATTGCCATATTGCTATATTGTGTCTTGAATTGCATTGAATTTTATTAATTACACATTATTGTTTGATTACCCTATTCAATCCCCCTCTAGGATAATTTTACTATTGACACTTCCTGAAAGAGTGAATATATAACCTGTCAGGGATCATCTCTTATCAAAATTACCCGCATAATCTGAATCATAATAGCCAAGTATTCTGTAGTCTGAGTTTGTGTTCCTGCCAAAATATATTCCAATATTAGTTGATCCTCTCAAATATCTAAGTACCTATTTCACAGCTTGCCAATGGACCTTTCCAAGCTTACCATATATCGACTCACAACACTGACTGCATGTGAAATATCTGGACGGATGCAGACCATAGCATACATAATGCTTCCAACTACACTCGTATAAGAAACACAAGACATGTACTGCTCCTCCTCTTTAGTCTGAGGTGACAAATCTGCTGAAAGACGAAAATGAGCAGCAAGCGGAGTCTTCACAGGCTTGGCATCAAGCATGCCAAATCTTTCCAACACCTTCTAGATGTATTTCTCCTGAGATAGGAATAAACTTCTTTCTCACCTGTTCCTGTGGATCTCCATCCCCAAAATATTTTTTACTGCTCCCAAGTCCTTCATCTCAAACTCATGTTTGAGTTGAGATTTTAACTCGTTGATTTCTGACATATCTTTAGTTGCAATCAACATGTCATCAACATACAAAAGAAAATACACAAAAGAACCATCATTAAGCTTTTTATGATAAACACAACTATCATATATACGCTTAGAGTAACCATGCTCAAACATGACCTCCTCAACGCTACGCAGATACATGTATTTTACAGAAGACATATTGAAGCTCACTAGAACAGTAAGTATAATTGTAAACTTTGTATTTTACAGAAGACATATTGAAGTTCACTAGAACAGTAAGTATAATTGTGAATAGTAACCGTACTTGTGAACAGTAATCATACTTGTGAATAGTACCAATACTTATGAATAGTATCGTACTCGTAAATGATAATCTAACTTATTTTTTGATATGGATGATCCATTTTTAAAGAGTAAATAATAATTTAACTTATTTTCTGATGTAGATGATCCACTTTTAATGGTAGTCACAGAGCATACGATAAGCAGATACATGTATTCTAAGCCAGGCTCTGACACCAGTTTGTTGCAGTGGGGGGCTTCACAAAAAATGTCTATACAAGAGTACAGAAATGACAACACTGAATAAACACAATGACGACAAAGAGAACAGCACACAATGATTTAATATGGTTCGGTCAGTATGACCTATGTCCACGGGCGAGAATAACAGATAACTTCACTAATCACAAAAGAGAAGATTACAAAAGAGATCACTCTCTAACCAAAGAATCACACAAAGAAAGAGATCAACTTTTTGTATCTCTCTCTTCTCTCTCTCTTCTCTCTAACTCTTCTCTCTATCTGATTTCATTCACTCTTACAACTCCTCCTTTTATAGCCTTTCAATTCTAATAAAAATTTATTAATGGTTGGTGTAATAGTGTAGACTTTCATATACAAAATCAAATAACAATATCCATTGTATCGCAGTGTTTACTTTTCTAAAATTTGCAAAATCAATGTTCGATATATCAGTATCACAAATAATTCAATCAAACATCTACGTTCTACAACAAAGCATGCATATCAGTCAACAAAGCATTTGTAATATCAATTATTTGCAAGTGTTTGATTGAATATATATCTGGATGATACTTTATTTACAACTTACAATTTACTTTATGATCAGAGAGAGAGAGAGAGAGAGAGAGAGAGAGAGAGAGAGAGAGAGAGAGAGAGAGGGGAAGAGAGAGAGAGGAGAGAGAGAGAGAGAGAGAGAGAGAGAGAGAGAGAGAGAGAGAGAGAGAGGATTTAATTTTTGTTTATTGCTTCCAACCTATTGCATACTTCTTAAAATTTTGGAATATTTCTTGAACTCCAAATGTTTCATCCATTTCTGAGCACAAGACCGTGTGACTTAAGTATGGCGCTAACTCCATCATTACTTCATACACAAGTGTTTTCCCCCCCAATCAGACTGCAGGTTCAAAATGCATAGGAGCTGAGACGCTACAATTTACGAACAGAACTACAAACATTGGGAAAAACATACGTGAGTCTGCGGTCAGACTTTGATGAAGAGATCCAAATTTCAAAGAGAAATCACAACTACTGGATGGTGTTCTCTCCAGTTCGCATTATGATCTCTTAAAAATTACTTAATTGTACAGAAATTTCACTAGCACCAGAGTGCTGCAATCCACATGAAGTGGGACAACTTTGTTACTTCTAACCTTAGAGGATGTAGCACATTTGTGGGGACTAATTATTATTTTACTGCCTATCAAATAGCTATCATGCTTTTATGCTCATTCCAATAACAGCTGTAAAGTTCCAGGTTTTCCAACCCCTTAACACCCCTCACCCTCGCAATTCGTTGTTAAGAAAGCAGCAACTAAGGCACTAATTATTCTCGTGTAGCTTACACATTGATACCATGCTTTTTTTGTATAAATATAATATCATCCAAGCCCTTCCACTTCTGCCTCTACCCTACCATTTCGATATTAAGAAAGCATCAACCAATCAATTCATGTTTAGCTGATCAAAGTAGATCGAGCATATCTAGCCCATGTCCTCTTAAAAAAAAAACTTCACTTTTTCTTCTCTTTTGCTCCTGCTTGGAAATGTGATCAGGAATGCTGACATCAACCATGAAGTGCAAAATGTTGACTAATAACATACGCAGAGTCTTAGAGACTAAGGAACGATGTTGATATGCTTATGTGGAGCAGAAAAAGTCAGCTTAATAAAAGGAGTTCATACAAGCCCGTTACCTTTTATGCAAAAAAGTAGTGAAAAGAGAGGTGACAGCAGGAACATCATCAGCACCAGCTCAGTGAGTTTCTTTAAATGTATGCGCCCTACATGACTTTTTCGACCTTGCAGACCGAAAGCAAGAGCTCTAGCAGACTCAAAAGTTCCTCAACGCCATAGTTTAGTGGATGTCTCATGGGGCAAACCTTAAGCCAGTTTTCTACTTGCTTCACTTCAAGTCGAACAGGTCAAGTGTTCACGCCGAAGAGAAATATGAAATCTCCTCCTCCCACAGATGTTGAGGATAATCAGGAATGCTCTCCTTCTGAAGAACTTATTTCTCCTACACCTACAACCAATGAAAATTGCAGAAAGATTGACGCCTGGTGATTTCTTGAGATTCCGTTCAGTTTGTACAGCATGGGCCTCGGCTATTACAGTTGGCGGTTATTCACCTCTACGTAACTTTATCCCATGGCTGATGCTCTCAGATAATCCCTACTCCTTTTTCAGCATTCCTGACAGCCTCTCGTACCATTATCCCTCTGATGTCAGATGCATCGAATGCATCAGTGCACAGAATGGTTGGCTTGCAATTGTACATGGAGTCTCCAAATATTGCCTCATCAATCCCATAACCAGATCCCAAATCAATCTTCCTCCTGTCAGCCGTAATTTCCACGTTAGGAAAATTGTCCTGTCATCTACCCCCTCAGCCAACATCAGCAGCAGCTGCATCATTGTGGCAATGTATGGAGTCCTTTACTATAGCCTAGCATTCAGTAGAGCAGGAAGTACTTCGTGGACATCAATAAGGCTCACTCATGGCATGGAAAAAGGCATCGAGGATGTTGTTTACCATGATGGAAATTTCTTTGTTATATCCACCAGAGGACAAGTACAAGCTTTAGACCTAAGTGGGCATTGTCCTATGGTATTATCTTTTGTAAACAACTATGCTGAAGTAGAAGTAGAGCAGAGGGGGTATTTGTGGACGAGGTATTTGGTGTCATCTTTTGGTGATCTGTTGCTTGTTCGGAAGCAGAGGGATTATGTAAGGAATAGACGGTTCATAATCATGAAGTTTAATCCAATGATAGACTCTTGTTGGGAGGAGATCACAGACTTGGGCACACGATCACTATTCTTAGATAACAAGAATTTGACATCGATTTCTGCTAGTGAGATAACAGGGCATAAAGGAAATTGCATTTATTTCATTAATGAACATATGGACTTTCATGATAATTATGTTTGCGATGTTGAGATATTTGACATAGAAAGCGGGACAATTCAGCCTTGTTTTCGTCCTGAACTTCAGTTCATCTGCTCACTACAGCTCCCTCCAATTTGGTTTATGCCTTCTTTATCATAAAGTGGAGCCTCAACAGCATGTATACTGAATTTACTACCCTATTATTCTTACTGTAATCTTGGATAATTATGATGACTGCATTTTGGCTGGTTTGTATACCTGTTTCTGTATCAAAAAGAAGCATTTTCCCCTAGGTCTCACCAGTAATCTGCACATGAACATTTCCCTCCCTCAAAATGATGAAACCTTCGTGCATCCCTCACAATGATCTTCCTCCCAGTGATCTTTGAAATGAGCTTTGTTGTTCGGTGGCAATCAGCACACACACGCAAGTTCTTGGTCACTCTGATAGGTTCACCATGCTTAGTGTTTATCAAGGCAAAGGCAATAGCCAATCTCTCACTGTGGCTGGTTAGTTTTTCTTCTTTCACTTCATCATCGACATCATGGAGCACCAAGTTTGTATCCGGAATGTAACCCATCTCTTTCATCTTTTCTCCCAATTCATCTAGCTTCATATAAATTTTATCTGATTGAGGGTGTGATTTGTCACCCACGAAAAATTCATGTATAGAACCATTCAAATCTACCCAACTGCGTCCTGGAGGCTTCTGAACTCCTCTTGACTTCATTAACTCCCGAACTTTCTTAACATCATTCCATCTACCAATTGCTGCATAGAGATTTGAAAGCAGTACGTAGTACCCTGCATCCTTGGTTTCCAATTCAAAGAGCTTTTCTGCTGCATAGATTCCCAGCTTCATATTGTTGTGAATCCTACAAGCTCCTAGCAAAGCACCCCACACAGAGACATCTGGCTCAATAGGCATCTCCTTGATGAAGTCAAGGGACTCATCAAGCTTCCCTGCTCGACCCAATAGATCAACGATGCAAGCATATTGCTCTTGTTTGGGTTCAAGGCCATAAACCCTTTTCATCTCATTGAAATAGAACCAACCTTCTTCTAGCATTCCGGAATGGCTACAAGCAGAGAGAATCGATGTGAATATCACATTGTCTGGCTTAAGGTGATAATTTTTTCTCATTCTATCGAACAGTTTTATCGCCTCTTTCACTTCTCCATTTACTCCATGTCCAGAAATCATTGCACTCCAAGCCACAAGATCCTTATCCTTCATACCCTCAAATATATCTCGAGCGGTATCCACACATCCACATTTAGAGTACATGTCAATTAATGAAGTACCAATGATCCGATCTACCTTGAACCCACTATTCACAAAGTAATCGTGAATCACTTTTCCCTCTTTGACTGCTCCAAGAGCTGCACATGCGTTCAAAGCACCAAGAAAACTAATGGAATTTGGGCAAAGATTTCTATGATCTCTTAGCCTATAAAAGAGGTTCAATGCTTCCCTTGGATACCCATTTTTTGCATAACCCAATATTAAGGAATTCCACGACCCCATCTCACTCCTTGGTTTTACATCAAACAGCTTCTGGGCATCAACCAAACTATTTAGTCTTGCATACATGTCAATTAGAGAAGCTCCAATTATCTCATCTTCTATCAAGCCAATTTTAATCACAAGCCCGTGGATCATCATCCCTTGTAGCAGTTCATTGGAAGAATTTGCCATACAAGATAAAGTTATCTCATTAGCCTCAAAACCTTCTACTAGCATTTGGTTAAACAAGCCCCATGTCTCTTTTATATTACCAGTCTGCGCATAAACACTTATCATGGTATTCCAAGCAACTACATTCCTTTCAGGCATGGACCAAAAAATGGACCCAGCAGGATCCAAGTCTCCAAATCTGTAGAGAAAAATTAGTTAGAAATTTGGTCGATGGTGAAATTATAATGCATAAAAGTATGGAAATTCACATTAATGAAGAAAGCAAAGTAGGAAGGAGAAAGCAATGTTTATACTTATGAACATCTTAATGGTAATAAATACATCATCAGCATAATCCTAGTTCATTATAGATTTCACTTATGCTTCTGCTACCTGACTGTTGACATTGAAAAGTCAGATTAAGTGCAGAAATGCTAGCCTTGTTCGAGTTCAGTTGGATGTTTCACCCAACTCAGATAGTTGGACTAGCAGTTGTGACGAATTTATCCGATTTGTAAATTACTTTAAGGGTTAATTGTGGATAGACCCCCTAAAGTTCTATTATCATGAATAGACACCCTATACTATTGCCCAATTGCAGATAGACTCCTGAGAGAAATTAAGTGGTCTCGTTTACCTCAGCATATCTAATTATTAATAAAAAAAACCTCTTTTCCAGAGGGTAAAAGAGTCGAAGAAGTTTGCACAGGAGGTATATCTACAAGAATGGAACTACAAAGGGTCTACCGCAATCATGGGGTTGTACAGGGGACTATCCACAATTAACCCTTGCTCAAATTTATCAATCTCAATAAAATGATCAAGGGCAAATTCATCAAGTTCAATCAGTAAGTGAGCAATGCTAGCCACATGCGCGCTGTGGCAGTGACGCATGTCCATAAGGGGACAGGTGTCGCTGCTACAGCGCTCGTGAGCCACACTCACGCGCGCCTGTGGCTAAACCCCCTCTCAGCACAAACCTTGGGTACATAAACACAAGCGCAGAATTCACCGACACATCATCTCTAACATCCCTTCCAACCTTCACAACATAACCATGAATTGCTCGTCCAATATTCCTATCAACCAGACGCCCACAAGCCGTTATAGCACTCGAAAGAGTAGTCCTATTCGGATCCAAACCTGCAACCCTCAACTTAACAAAAACCTGTAAAGCCAATTCATACTCCCCCTGCTTTGACAAGCCAGTAATCGCAGCGTTATAAGTGGGCAAATCCGGGTCAGGCAATTCATCGAGCAGCTGAACTGCAAACCCAAGTTGGCCACATTTGGAGTAAGCATTGATAAGCGCAGAGGCCACAAACAGGTCAATGTAGAGATGGGTTTTGATGGTAAAAGCGTGGAGTGAGAGAAGAAGGGGGAGAGAACCGAGAGAAGCGCCGGCAATGAGAATTGGAGGGAGGGTGAATTGGTCAGGGATGAAGTTT